AGATTAGGGCCAGCACGGCTTGGGCAGAAAGGGGGCACATGATCCCACACTCTGCTCAAGATTCACACACAAGCTCTTCACTTCTTGGAGAGATCTGTTTGCAACAGTAGATGAATTAAAAAATGATTTCCTTTTTCATCCTCTTTCTACAGCAAGACCTCCAACTGAGGATTTGGAGAAAATACGGCCAGTTTTAAACGCTCACTTTGCGATGCATTCCTGGGACTCGCAATCACTCCTGAGTTTATGGTACACCACGGCTCCCACGGCAAGCGGCCCGGCGTCTCCACAGAGGAACGTGACCCTGCGGCCATTCAGGTTCCGAAGTGTCCTCTTCACGTAATCCAGGGACCGCAGCAGGTAGGTCTGGTCACAGGTGACCCGGTACAGCTGCAGGTACAACAGGGCTATGCCTGGAAAATTCCCCGGCCCCAATAAGAGCATTAGTACCTTTCCCTTTAGGACATTATTTTATGTTTACAGGAAAAACCTACATAAAACCTACATTTCTGAAGGGCAACATCAAAGAAATGAGATCGCTTTCTTTTCAATGAAAAAAACACACACACCTCAGGGTAGAAAAAACTTAACACAGCTTTAAATATGTTATCGTGCTAAGTGTCCCAACAGTGACCCCACCCATATGGAGCCTCCTCGACAAGCAAGGGACAGCCTCCCGCTCATCCCCAAACGTTTAGCATGAGCTCCTCTCAAGCTCAGGGTCTGTTTTTCTGTCGATGCTCAGCTGCGCTTCTCATTTCATTCACTGCATTCTTCAGCTCTAGAATTCCTGTTTGGTTCTTTTTTAGGATTTCTCTCTCTCTGTTAAACTTCTCATTTTGATTCTGTTCTGTTTTCCTGATTTCAATGAAATGTTTTTCCGTGTTCTCTTGTAGCTCACTGAGCTTTCTTAAAACAACTAATTTGAATTCCTTACCAGGCAAACCACAGACCTCCGTTTCTTTGGGGGTGTTACTGGGAAATTACTTTGCTCCTTGGGTGGCACTGTGTTTCCTTAATTTTTTATGTTTCTTGAAGTCTTGTGTTGCTGTCGAGCACCTGAGGCAGTCGCCCCTTCAGTCTTTACTGACGGCCTTCCGTCTGCCCTGCTAGAGATGCTGAGGGTTCTCACGCTTCTCTGTGGATACACCTGCTCGGCCCTTCCTGTTCCCTGTGAGGCGGGATTCTTACGCTGTACTTTCTCCAGATTCCAGGAAGCCGGGCTGAGTGCTGACGGCCCCCGGTTGGCTTTCTCCAGGACAGTGCTAGACGTGCGGGTTTGTGTGCTTGACCAACTCTGCAGGGTTAAACGGCTTCTGCCCCCTGCTCACTAACTGTCTGCAAAGCTCTGCATCACTGCCCTCAGGGGCGGACACATTCTGGGGTGGGGCAGCGAGTGAGGAGCATGGAATATTATGTATAAAGTTGTTGAATTTTTTTCTTAAATTTGTATTAGATGAATTTTACATATAATGGGCCAGGGAAATCACACAACTACAACTTGTCACAAAGATCAAAGCAACAAAAGTGAAAAAAAGAAAAGAAAAAATGGACCCCAGGGCAAGTGTGCTCTCATTACACATTTTATTTATTTATTTATAAACTGTATTTATCACGTATATGTAGTTTTAAATATGTCTTTATTGATTTCAGAGAGAGGAAGGAAGAAGGAGAGAGAGACATAGAAACATCAATGATAAGAGAGTCATTGATCGGCTGCCTCCTGCACGCCCCCTACCAGGGATGGAGCCCACAACCCGGGCATGTGCCCTGACTGGGAACTGAACTGTGATCTCCTGGATCATAGGTCAGTGTTCAACCTCTGAGCCACGCTGGCTGGGCTCGTTATATATTTTTATAGACAGCTATATTTTAGGTCCAATAATGTTATAATAATATGACATTCTACATATTAAGTTTCAAACTTCCAGGCAGAATTTCTTTAGAAATAAAATTCCAAAGCATCTCACCTATGAAGACTGTTCAAAACGTCATTGAAAGGGTGTAAGCTTTACCATCTTACAAGAGAAAAATGTGTCAAGCCCAAGTCTCACATATCTCGATCTAAGAGTCGAACAACCAGCCGCGCCCACCCCGTCTCACCTGTCCAGCCAGTATACGCAGAGCAGTCATGCGGATCGGCCGTCTTCAGCCCTTCTTCCATCTGCTGTAGGAGATCTTTGATTTTGCTCTGGATCCGCCTCGTGAAAGTATGAATGATCTGAGAACCAAAAGGCATCAGTATAAATTGCACAAGAACAGGGTAATGTTGTAATAAATACTTCACCAGTCTAAGTCGTAAGATCATTAACAGGTACAAGTCATATTACCTGGCCCATTTCAATGCTTCACTGGTTGGAGAGTGTGCCTTGGTTTTTTTAAGGTAAGTTTTTAAATGAGATAATACCCTACATACACTGTCTTAAGTAGGATCAAAAGAAAAAAAAAAAAGTTGCAGAAACCAAAAGGAAAAAATCATTAAAAAATGGTGACTATGACTACACAAATATTTTAACATCTAAAAGTTAAAGAAAATAAGAGAGATGGTTTAAAAGTCAATGACAAAAACTCACAGACACGGACAACAGGACGGTGGTTACCAGAGGAAGGGGGGGGACGGTCGTTAAGGGGGACGGGGCCAGACACACGGTGAGGGAAGGAGACTTGGCTTTGGGTGGTGGACACACGATGCAGCACACAGATCAGGGATCCCAGAAATGTACCCTTGAAGCCTACGTAATCGTACTAACCAATGTCACTCCAATACATTTAACTCGAAAAGTTAATGACAAGGGGGGAATGCTTGTAATATAAAACTATAAATAAAAAGACCACAGCAATATGGAAATAAACCTAAAGTTGTCAATGTATCTCATAAAAAGAAAACAAATCAAAGGACAAGTATATGCAAAAACGGTCGATCACTCCGCAAGGAAGTACAGGTGCCATGGTGCGCCTATCAGGTGAGAAAGTGATAAAATATTTAAAAATATTATGTATCAACACTGCTAACAGCTAAGGCTTGGAGTATTTTTGTTTATTGCTGGAAGTCTTCTTCAGGGGAAATTTAGCAACCTTAGAAATTGATAGGTGCATAAGGTGTGAGAACTCCAGGCGGGCTGACTCAACCCTGGAGGCATCCATCATTTACATCTCAAAGGACGGCGAGGCCCTAGAACTGAAGTCAAATGAGTTTGTCACTTTCTGAGAAAGATTCATTTACATTCCAAAGGCTGAGAGTAGGATACGCCCAAGGACACCTTCTCGGAAGGGCCGGGGACACAGTTGCCTTCTTCCCTCCGTGAAAGGACCGTATCCTGACTAATTGCATTTCCTTGAAAGACGTCGCCCTATTCTGGTTTCTGTGGTTAGGACTCGGACGTATCTTTTGGGGAGACAATCCAACCCATAATACCCTCGTTTTCGTGACATTCTGCGTCTATCAAAATAAATGTGTACTTTGATATTATCTATCTTAATTACGTTAATAATATAATATTTTATTAATTAAAAATATAATAACCAGCCAGTCATAAAGCATCTATACAGAAGATAGTGGAACTTAATTCACATTCATTTTATCTTGTGATTTTGTGTAACTAAGAAGCACTTTCCACCTTTTAAAATCACCCTCCCCATGTTCAAGAACAAGTTTCCACTTCCCCTCTCCTCCAGCAAGTAATCACCCACAGGCTCGGGTCCCCATCCTGGCGCATTCTAATTGTTTAACTGCACCGAGATAACACAAGCCCCATTAATTATTTGTTTTAATTTTCTTTTATATGAATCACTTCGATATACAGTTGGGGTCAAAGTCACATTTCCCAGATACAAAGGGTAAAAAGAAAAAATGTAATTTCAGCATCAGTGTTTATCTCGTTCTCTGAGGTGGAAGCCGGGACAACTGCTCCCCCGCTTCACTGTTCCCCAGGAGACTCAAATCTGTCAGGAGGTTGTTTCGCTTCTTTCACTAAACATCACATGGCAGTAGCCTGCTTACTCGAAGGACAGTATTGGGAGAGCAACTGATAATAACTGTGAATGAGGGATTTTTTTAATGCTTCCNTTCTTTCACTAAACATCACATGGCAGTAGCCTCCTTACTCGAAGGACAGTATTGGGAGAGCAACTGATAATTACTGTGAATGATGGATTTTTTTAATGCTTCCCAGCATTAAATATAAAATTTTTATTATAGAAAAATCTGAACTCTAAAGTCACAAATATAACAGATGACGTGAAAACAGAGATGTAGAGAAAAATCAGTATTGGCATAGGAATTCGAAACCCCCAGATGTGCATCTTTCAAGGGGAAGAAAGGGGGGGAGACTGACTGGGGGCCGACCAGGTACCACAAAGGCAACTGATGGCTTTATCTAACTCGGCNGACTGACTGGGGGCCGACCAGGTACCACAAAGGCAACTGACGGCTTTATCTAACTCGGCCGCTGCCATCCGCGAGTTACAACCCCAGGTAAGGACGGCAGGGCTCAGAAGTCACTCGCCTCTGATTCTGTATGGAGACCCGCGGCTCTTTCAAAGCCGCCTTCTCAGTTCTGGCAAAGTTCTCCCGGTGGCTGGGGAGCCGGGGCGGGGAGGTGGGATTGAGAGCCCGAGGTCCGCGGAACCTCCACCTGACCGGTAAACGCGTGGTTCCACCCAACCCGAAAGCAGTTGTGCTGACACGAACCTCCCCCTTCATCTCCCCTGCAGATACTGATAAAGGAAACCCTGTTCTGGGGGGAGGCGGGGAGCCCCGAGCTCGCGCACGGCGCGCACGGCGAGGGGAGGTAGGAACGACGTTAACCAAAAGGGGCACTTTCCGTGTTGGGATTTCACCTGCTTCTGAAAAGAAGGCCCCTCCAGCCCTGCACAGCACGAACCCCGCAACCGCGACCCCTCCCCCAGCCCCTTTCCCGGTAAACCCTCCACAGGCGCAGCCCGCGAGTCTCCAGGGCTCCCCGGCGCTCGCCAGCCCGCGCGTCCCGGGCTGCGATGCCTCCGCTTTCCCCGAGTAAACCCAACTTTCCGAGCCTGCCCCGGTCCAGCTCTTCGTGCAGGTCAGCACCGCCCTTCGGCCACCCACCGAGGTGACTGTATTTTCAGACGCCCCCTTTCCAAGCCCTGGGCGCAGAGACAAGAGCCATCAACGCGACCACGCTGCTCGCGGACGAGGCTCTTTCGCATAAACGGCCGGGGGCGGGCCTGACGCCGCCGCGGTCCCGGGAAAGCCGGGCGCCCAGCAGGGTCCCGGNGGGTCCCGGGGGGGGGGGGTGCTTTGCACGGGCGGAGCCGGAGCGAGCTCCAGGGCATCGCCTGGAATCAAAGCTATTCCGGGGCCCAGTGACTTCCAAGGGCGCAGAAACAGGGCGCCCATCAGGGGACTACGGCGGCGCTCGGGGCCCGAGGCGCTCGGCGCGGGGCAGGT